TTTTCAAGTTTGTCTGTTATTTCATTGCCTTGGCTGCCATCGTGTCCCGGAATCTATATTAGGTGCACCCGATTGTTCCAGCCCGATTGTTCCATTATAGCTGCCTGGTTGTCAGTCAGTATTGCGATCTTACGATTCCGGTAGTTACGTTCAAGTTTGAAATTGGCGCATCTATCTATCGCGTATATTTCCGCTTGAAAGATAGTTGCATTGTTTCCCAGTGCTTCGCAGTATTTTTTACCTGGTCAATAAACACCAACTCCAGCTCCCTCATTCGTGAGAAAGCCATGTTATTATGTTTCCTTTTATTATTTGGGTTTTGGATAAGTGTTTCCAATTTTTTTTGTTGCCAAGTTGAGTTTGAAGTTTTTTGTAAAGTTATGGTTTACAATCATACTGTCCATTGGCATATCTTTTGGTAAAAAGTACTATTAAAAGTTACTTCTATGTATATGTAGGTATTGCAATACATATGTAATGGTAGTGGCTTAAAAAGTATATTATCAGTAACAATAATAGTATTTTTTTAATGTTCTGCAAAGCTATTAGCGTTAGGAAAAGCCTTGACAGAGCCAAAGCTTAATTTCTTTATTACATTTCTTATTATTATTATTAGTTATTCCGTACTCCGTTAGGAGATTAAGGTTACAACAAATGATTTCCAACTATCTCTATTTTGCGAAATATGTTGAAGTCCGTTAAACATTTTGCCAGTTTCAGTATTAATTGTTCTTCGCCCTGTTGTCGTTGGCCTGCCTCTAAGACGGGTTCCCTGAAGATTCCATGTTAGCGCTGCGTGCGTGATACCCATAATTTCAACATTTATAGACGTTTGGTTAGTTTGCCTCCAGAGTTCTTCATTTGATGTCATTCTTGATGTGTTCATCCTTGGCCACCATATCTTCATTATGTTTCGCAAGCAGCGGTTGATGGCAGTTTGTAGTGTCTTTTTAGTCTCCTCCGTTAGAAGCCAAGTCTCTGATCCGTATAATAAGACAGACTTAACGCTTGCATTAAAAATGTTTATTTTTGTGTTTGTGCGGATGTTGTGTGTACACCATATTTCCTTGCGAAAGCTCCTCTTGTATTACTTTTTGTATTCGATTGTTTATGTCCTGTTTTGCGCCTCCATCTATGGAGAGAATATTTCCCGAAGTAAGTAAAGCGCTCCATAACTTAAAGCAGCTAAAGTATTATTTATTTATTTCATTTATTTATTTATGTGAAAATAGAACTAAAGCATTTTGTTTTAAACAAAAATAAAATTCACCTCATATGACTAGCCAAGAAAAAATATTAGAACTAAAATATTTATGCGATCATTAAAAAATATTCGAAAACTAAGTAACACCTTTCGGGCTTAATTTAAACATTTTTGATTCATTTAAATAAATTTCTCATGACCAACTTTTTTTGTATTATCACTGAAACGGATATATTTTTCTTTTGTTCGGATCAGTTTATTTTTTTTGTAGTACTATAAATGACCTGTTATGCTCGCACTTACATACTCTCTAGCGTTGAGATACCTCTTCGCTGGAGAAATCTTCATTATCTGTCTGAGACTACTTATATACAAAAAAATAATTCATTTCAAAATTGATGAAACAAAGTATAGTTTTTTCTAATACTTTTTCTCAAATCACACTAATTGGAAGATCTTTCAGTTAATTATACGATAACTTCAAAAGAAATTAAAAACATTCATTAATTACAATCAACATTCACCACAATTAATTTTTAGCAAAATTCATATCACCCATATTAATGAAATTATTCATTATCCTTAAATCAAATCTAAATACTTGTTGGATCATTCTTTCATCAAAAAACGAAAAAAAATAAAGTTAATGAAAAATGCTATTTTTCATTGTATATTTTGCCTTGATTTATTCTTCCTTCGCTCTGAGTTATTACTATTGTATCCTTGCAGTGCTTTGCAAATTTTTTCCATTCGAAAATAAATTTAGCAAAATTAATGTACTATTCGCAATTTTCTTTAATGAAGATTTAGGCTTTCAATATAATTTTTGCATGTAAGGAATTCCATTATTTTCTCTCCCTGTGAATTTCTGCTCCTTGCGTGGCCAATAGACCAGAAAATCCGCGTCGAAATGCTGCGTGCGACATACGCGCTCCGCGGCAAGCACGCAAGCAGCAGTGCTCAAGCTGTTCACCAAGCTTCCAAGGAACCAAACAATATAGGAATTTTTTATTATTTGTAGTCAGTAAACATTTCAGCAGAGTTAATAAACGCAAGGAATTGCAAGTCCTGAGGAGCCAGAAGGCGGTGCTGGCGTAGGTCAGTGTGGTCAGTCATGAATGGCAAATTTTTTTCTCTTGTCTTTGTTGTGGCATAAAAATATTTTGTGGGCGATGTTGGGTGTGTTCAGTGTGCGTACTTTTACTATGGTTAATGTGCTTCTGCTGGCACACCTCTTTCAGATTAACATTTACTGTTTTTAGTAGGGTTTAGGATTTTTTTCTTGCAAAATTATTATTACTATTAGTAAATTTTAATATGAACTATCTGACTGATGAAGTTATTTTTATAAGTTCCATCAGAGTGTCATGGGTTCAAATTTTGTGTCAGCATGAAACTTAATATATTTGAAGGATGAATATTTGAAAATATGCTGGTAACCGCAACTAAAATATTAAATTTCATATATATATTATGAAATTATTGCTTTTCCACTATGTGTCACTAATAGTAATGTGTACACTTAATATTTATGCTACGGATAAAATTAGGTTAAAATATTTCGAAATTAATTAAGTAATCGTTTAAAGTTGGAATGTAGTTTTATTTGATGAATAACAAAAAAAATTTTTTTAAAATATTGTACCTTCATCTTTTATGCAATATTAGGTATTTAAATATGCTAATTAGAAGTGGCATTAACAATATGTTTTCTAACTAAATGCGATGAATGATGAATGATAACAAGAAACAAGCAAGTGATTTAAACTTTATTTTCAATATATATTAAGTTATGGGGTTCACAATAAAAAAATTACTATATAAACTTTGTTAGTCATAAATATATCTTAAAAAGATATAAGATATCTTCCATATCTCAGAGAAAAATTTGCTAAAGCGTGTGAATATAGAATACCATAGCTTGTCTGTGAACACTAAATAGTTCACTTAATAGGCATATTTTAAGAGTACAATGAAATCGTATTGATAAACAATTCTATTGCAAAAAATTTACAAAAGATATACATTAAACATATAAAAAAATAAGACCAATAAAAATCATTAAGAAACATCAAATTAGAGTTAATTCAATATCTAAGTTTTCCAATCGATTGAATAAGAATAACCGATGAGAGATTATAGGTATTACAAAATTATCGTGTAATTAACTGAATTATGAATACCTGATTTAAATATGTAATGTTTTGGTTTTGAAGTTATAGAAGAGACTTTTGTTTTGAACCTTAATTTAACTTTATGCATTTTGGTTAATATGGAATATAAGTGCCCTTACTATTTGATACTTTTTGTTTCTTGGATCAAGAAACTGTCTCTTGCGTTTTGAGGAAATTAAAATGAATGCCATTTGAGGAATGAAAGAATTATTTCTCTGAAGAATAAAATCAAAAAATGTAAAATAAAGTTCTTTTTTCCATCATCATTCCATGACATATATACTTACATAGTGAACTTTGGATTTACATCTACTTTCTCTCGCTTATAAAATTATTATCTCTTAATGCTGAAGCTGCTTATTAAATATGGATAACTAGAGACACCTTATAAAAGTCGTCTCATGAAACTAATGAAAACAATAATGGACGCGATGAACCTAAAAGGCCAAAACGCATTCTGGATAGTCTGAACTGTAACTATCACGTTGCGAACAAATCATACGACAGACATGCAATCTCTGACTAAATTAATAGGACTAAAAAAAATTATGAAGTTAGCACAAACAAAACATAGTAAATAAAAAATTCTTTAGTTAATAAAATTTCTTTAGTTATTGTTTATTATTTTTTATTTTATTATTTTTTTATTTTATTTTATTTATTTATTTTTTATTTATGTACCAATGCTAAGGTGTTTTTAATGAAACTAAATTTCTAAAAACTAAAAAGTAAGACAGTGTCCAATGATTCTTGTTGCGCTATTATGTTTTAATAAGTCTTCTCTTTGAAGTTCTTAACCATGATAACGACATGTATCATTCGTTGAAAAATATCACAACGCGTTCTGGTTGTTTTTACAAGTGCCATTACACGAATTTCGCTTTATAGTTGTTTCGAGTTGTTCACAACGCATTGTGGCCATATTACAAACTTTACGCTTTCTATTTTTTATTTTCGCTCAGTTAGAGTTATGGGCTTTTAAACCTAACAAGGAAAGTATTAAGTATTTTTATTATTAGATAGGATGCAGCAATGCAAGTTAGTTGCTGAGAAATGTGGAAAAGTTCTTACTATATAACACTTATGTTGTATTTGTTTGGCCTGTAAACAATTTTCAAGTGGTTTGGATAGGCCAAATGGAGATAGCATTCAAAAGCTATTCAAAGTACTAAACTGTGTTCGTAGATAGATATTAAATTTTTTTCTTGGCTCAAACTAATCGATTTGTGTGTGATGTAAACACGTCTAAGGTCAACGTTACTTAGACCACTCAGCCGCTGACCTGTAGATTAACTGAAACTACGATGTAATGGAAAATTATGAAAAAAATTATCAATTATCCTTTTTTATCGTCCAGTTTTTAGAAAAAACAAAAATACATGTCAGTTCCGATGCGATTTCAGCTAACCTCGTGCCAATTATAAATTTTTTCCTCTGAATTTGATTGCGATAATTTCTCGCTCTGTGCCTGTGAGAATAGATGTGGAACGTTAGTTTGACGGTGCGTGTAACTTACAAATGCATTACAGTTTCAAGGACTCTTAACCGACTAATTAAATTTATTCAAAGCCTAAAAAATGAATGAACTAATTAAAATGTTCTACTGAAATCTCTCATTGCAGAAACGAAAACAATTTGCGGCGAAGTGCCGCCACACTACTGGGAAACGCCATATTCGCAGCCCTACTTTGACAACTCATCGCGACGTGATGTTACGGCAACGGTGGGTCAGGCGGCGTTGTTGCATTGTCGCGTACGGAATCTAGGTGACAGAGCGGTAAGTTAAAAATTATGTATGCAAATAAAAAGTAGAAAACTCAAATGAAAATTTTCATGAATGGTAAATTTCAAGTGGTACACTGAAAAAAAATCAAAACACTAAAGTGAAACTCACTGAATTTTCTACTGCAGCACGAACCGCAAGCAAATAAAAAACTAAATGAAACATTAAAATGAAACATGAAAAGAAAAATAGAAAATAGAAAAATGGAATGAAAACTATTTTTTTTTCGTAGTGCTTGAAAAAATTGTTATTTATGGCGTTTTTCCTAACTAAACATCAAATGCAAAATTCAGTTTTTATATGACATCCTTGTGACACGGTTTTGGACAGTATTTTACTATATTCTTTAAACAAATTTTTATTTTAAAATTATTGCAAATTAAATAGAATATTTAAATTACAGTTCATAATTCATATCTTTATAAATTACATTAAAAAAGCATTAATGACATTAATTTTTGACGTTGTCAAAGTTTCAATAAATGAAAAGCATATATTATATATATATAAACTTTAATAGTTTTCTTCAAAAACTGTTTTTATTTGTATTAACTATTTTCCTTGTCAAGTAAAATTTAGAACCGAATATAATATATATTAAAAGCGTATTGAATTTTCAACACAAAAAAATTACTTAAGCGTTCGAGTGAAAGCCAAAATATTTCTCGTTAAGAATTTCTTGATATTAGATTCTGACCCAGATCCTGGGCCTGACAGACAGTCACAAAAAAATTGGACTGAAAGTCTCACTTGTTCCCAAGCAAAGCGAACATTTCCGATTTTCCTACAGATCCACATATATTAAAAAAATAAGTATAATATTAAATATCCCATGAAAATTTCACACTTCGAGCAATATTAAATCTAAGTTAACAAACGAATCTTCAGTATACCTAGTTTCGCTATATTAGCAGTACAAAAATAACTGCCTTTATATTCACGATGTATAACCAAAAAGTGAAAGGAAATTCACGCCGTCTTTAGAGTGTGTTTTTGAATTTTGGAAATAAATACTCGATATACTCGATACGCGTTATATCAAAAGTAATTTCAACTCCTCACTACTTTTTGAGTCCATCCCGTAAATTAGCAATGTGACTCGATATACATATACCAAAAATAATTAGATAAAAAGATTCTTGATATTGCGATTATATAGGATAATGGATGAATTTTGTTGGCAACACGAGATTTTAACTTCAACAGTATATCTGGATTGAAAACTAGAAATTTTAAAAAACTTCTTAATTTTATTTAGGAATATGAATGAACGCGGTTCTAGCTCCCAACAGAGTGGAGCACTGCGATCATGATTGATCTTTTGTGCTGCAACAGACTCTAACCGAACAGAAGACATTCCGCCTTCCGAATGAAGGCTAAAATGTCAACCGTTGAGAAACTCCTGATATCAAAAGGGGAGAGTAGTTCTCGACCCACTAACCTCCTCCTGGCCCAGATCAAGGCTGAGCAGTCACATAAAATGTGATTCTTAATTTTATTTATTTTAAATGAATAAAATGAAACACATACAATTATTTACTAATACAAATTCTTTTAATAGAACTAATGAAATGAAATAAAAGCAGTGGAGAAAGCTGAATTTCTACTACGAGGAATAAAAAAGAATTACCAAAATAAGTATGAAGTTTCATATTATGCCTATTAAGCATTTTTTTCAATATATTTTTTTAAGTCAGAGAAGATAGGAATAATCTGAACATAAATTATAATAAAGGAGTACTTATACAATAAAATTTGTATAAGTATTTGTAAGAGTAATATGATCTTAAAATAATATTAAATTGATATAGATATTACATAGGCTACTATGCCAGGCAGACCAACTGAAGAAACCATTTGGACCCTTTTACATGATTTATAAATTTCTTAAAATTTAAATACTTTAATACATAAACAAACATAAAATAGAATTTAGTATTCACGTTTTATTTATATGAGACTATGACGGATCATATAGTATTCACTAGATATTAAAACTTCGATTGTATAAAAAAAGTCAGTCTAATTGCACATCATTTAAAACTTTACAAATTAATTTGAGTGCAATTACAAATATATATGTAAACTTTTTCGTTAATATAATGATCCTAATTCATATATAGCTGCTCATTATAAAATCAATTCTATTACACATCTTACAGAGAGCCAGAAGACTCAAACATTTAATTACTAAAAGTATTTATATCAGCTTATCTGAAACAGAACAGTTTTCTTTAATACGTTAATTTTTAAAGTATGATAATGCGTGTACATGCTTCTTTCAATCACTAATTTGTCTAATTGCTTTAGGCTTTAAACTTTGAAATTTTAATGGTAATGAAAATAAATTATTTTAATTACTATTATTAATGGTCCATTCAAATAAGTGTCAATAATTAATTTTTTCAAAACACTTTATTTTGTTATGTATATGATATATATGTACTAGTTAGTTAGTTTTTATAGTTCTGCATATATATTTAAGGACTTGAATGAATTTTCAAAAGATTATGTGTTTATTTAAGGTGGTTATCTATTTCTTCAAAACGTTCCAGTGTTTTGTAGATTAAATTCTTGAACTGTCACAACCTTTAGTTCTTCGTGAAAAAGAACATATGGTACATTAAGTCTTCACGATTCATTCCATCGTTCAGTTTTTTCAGTCTCAGTTTTGAATTATTTAGAACTCAACAATTAACAAATCTGATATAAAAAGACTCACTTGAATAAAATTCAGAGTTTTTAACTGTGAAGCAGCACCAAAACGTTACTGTGTAATTCTATTCCCTGACAGATTTGAAGTTGGTTTATAAGTGGACTATCTAACTTTCCATATGATACGAGTATAGCATATATTCGTCGAACACGTTAAGGAGAATCCGGTGCTACATACTTAATCGCGTGGCTCAGTTTTTCTGAGCTCATAAAATTGCCCGAAATGGAAAAGTTCTCTAAACTTTTAGAAAAACCGACCATAATCTCAGTGTTTCTTGAAGAACTGTTATCGATAACTTGCTCTTTGTTGTGCATGTACATGAAGTGGTTGTCTAGTGTCAGACCTAAGTATTTCTTATATATTATTAAGAAACTAAGATAAACTGAATTTATTTATAAATTTATTAAGTGGTATTAAATTTATTTAAGTGGAATTCAATTATTTTGCTAAGCATTTTTTTAATATTAATATTTATTATATATAGATCAATATCTCAATTTGCATCATAAATCTTTGTTTTTATTTTGCTCAAATGAAACATGGAAAACGTTTTTATATTAAATTTGATAAAATATTTATTTGCATTCACTTTTTAGCGTGGCATTGAACAATATTATATCCAATGACATACGGAGTTATCTATTGGCTCCAATATGCACATAATTTTCGAACAACAATGGCGTTTGTCCTCCAAAAAAGATTTCTTTAGCCTAATATAATTTCTTTGTATTTTCTGCAGGTATGCAGTGGTGGTTCGGCGAAATTGCATAAATATCAAATTCATATAAAAACCGAAATGGATTATTTTATAAATTCCAGTCGAGCGCTCGGTACGATTTAGTCTTGTTTCGGTTGCAGATATCTGCAAACTATTTTTTCATACTTTCTTCCCATTCAATTTTGCTTCACAAGATACACATGGACGTGTGCATACATTGTACACATATATTCGTACTTCTATATAAACATGTAATGAAACTGAAAAAGAAAGTAAAAAGGATTTTACGTACATTGTTCTTGTTATTTGGTTTACGTGCTTTACGGTAAGGCAATAAAATTTAAATGACACTCAACATGTGCGGCATTGTGTGCCACATAAAAAGTTTTTTTATATTCAAATGCCCTGGCAAGGATATTCTGTATGCCAGGATTGCCTTTTTTATTGTGCGAAATCACATGCTGCAACATAAAAAACTGAAGGTGTGGCATATTTTGTGTGTAATGAGCTTAATTGAAAAAAATGTTCGCTTTTAAGCCAAAAATCACGTTAAAGTAAAAAGCGTACGGGTATTAAAAAAATGAATATTTCTTATAAAAAAAAAAAATTATTTCAATTTTTAAATACAAATATGTTTAAAATAAAAACTAAAATTATATTCTTTATTTCTACACAAGTTGTACGGCTTACTGTAACATTCATTATATCATTATATTATTTTAAACAAAATTTTAAATGTCTCATTGTGTTCAATACACAATAATACATAAAAATAAAATTTTTATTTATATATAAAATAATTCTTTTTTTTGTAAATTTAAAAGCTCTTAAACGTTATATTTGCCTTATGATAAAAAATCTATACTTTATAAAAAAAAGTAGTAATGTTCAGTCAAACATTTTTCAAACTCTATTCAACTGTATTCGGATATCGACTCTTTTTTGTTCAGTTTTTTTCGAATGTGCCCTGTCTTATAATGAAAAGAAACTAGAAGAGTTCGAGGTTTGTGCAGCCTTGGCTACTAATGGAAAACCACGATTAGCTATCGTTTTAAATTTGACAGGCACGAGTTCTAAGTCTGGCACTTGCAGTCCAACAAATTATATACGAACTATAAACTAATTAAAAAAAAATTCAAAAATATCTTAAGATCACTGGTGATAAGTATTTGTCAGTACTCGAAACAATGTTGTTTTTCTACTAACTTTCAATAAATTGATCAAATTGTAGTTCTTTCCTCAATACTGTTCTAACCCTTCTCTATATTAATTCACTTTTCATCTATAATTTAATTATTAATGGTTCATGCCGAGAATAGAGGTCATCCCAAAAATATACTCGGTTAATACTAAAACGTTTTTGGATTTGATAATTTTACTGACAAGAAAAATAAAATTTTATTTTTACACTAACCGCATTAATGACAAGTCTGTTGATACAATTTTATAATACTTAATACTTTTGATAAAAACCTTTTCGCCCATTATCTGTTTAACAAACAGTACTAATCTATACTTGCTTCATCCACAATAAAATATGTCCTCATATTTTATCCTGTT